TTAGAAAATAAGACTGATAATCACTATTTTTTAATAAAAAAATAAATTTTTTCGAGACTTAACGTGCGACGTAAGCACGTAAATGAGGGAAGGACTAAATTGGTCCAAAAAATTGAAGATTGAGGAAGTTTTTAGCATTTTCTTAAGTTTGAGGATAGATTTGGTTTAAAAATAAAAGTTGAGAGACCACATTGGCTATTTAACCAAAACTGAATTAAGACAACCTGGTAAACTACCCGGGCCAAAGCTCCTCCTTACCTCTACATTGTGGGTTCAACTTTATGAGTCTCAAAAACTTAAATTTAAATGGTTAATAATGGTTAGTTTTTACATTTATATATTAGACTTAATCACAATTTCCTATTAATAAGTGGTTATAACCTACCGAAAAGACATCTCTCATCTTTCAAAGTGAAAGGAACCAGATTTGTTGATTGATTTTTTTCCTTAATGAACAAGTATTTCATGGTTAATTGGTTTCGTCCAGTATCTCCAAAATAAACAGAGTTTCTCTTTTGGTTTTTAATTAGGGAGAATGATTGATCCATACTCTATTTAATACATTACATAATATATTTATTAAAAAATTATTATTTATTAATTTAAAATTAAAAACAGATAAATTTAAACATACAATCATATGGATAGGATGTAAGAATTAATTGAATCATATTATATTTACATTATATTTTAATAATTAAACTAAACATATATCAAAAAAATATATTGAATCAAGTGTGTATAAACTATTTTCTTTTAACTAATTAGCCAATGTTTCAAAAATTACAACTAACAAAAAAGATATTTTATTTATGCTGAAACAACCAAACAAAAAGCTAAATATGAATACATTTGTATGTATTTATTAAAAGAAAAATGAAAAAATGTATTTAGTAAAAAAAAAAAAAGAAAAGAAAAGAAAAGAAAAGGAAAAGACATTTTTTTCCATAGTCAGCAAAATTTAATCAACTATGATAGGAAGCCCAGAATAGGAAGTCTAGAAGTTGCAAGGATCAAATTGTATTGAGAAACAAAAAATCACCTAGTATTGCATACACGTTTATATAATCAATACCACCAAAACAATAATAATAATAAAGAACAAGTAATCACACTCATTAAAATAAATTGACATGTAAATTATATCATTGGAAGAATCGCAGCTTACTTGGTCTAATTGTAGCATTTGTAACAGTGTTGATTAGATACAATTTTTATAGAAGTACTATTCAAGCAAAACTTTTATTTAACTAAAAATATCTAGTACAGGTTACCTAATTTCCAAATAAAGCACTAATTTATGACAGTCAATTGATTATACTAATCAAGAATGAATTACAGATGATGGTTTTAATAAGTGAAATTTTAGCCAAGGTCATTTTCTCATATCTTAGTTGGTGGGAGCAACTCCAAATGGATTCTTCTACCACAAGTCACAACAATCTATCATATCCTAGTTGAAAAAGAAAACATTTTTCATGGAAAAGATTTTCCAGAAGGAAACGTTATTTTCCGCGAACCAAAATTTCTCCTATTTTGGCAGACAACTACTAGTGGATCTCCTAGTCCTACCGCACCAGTGATATATCATAATGAATTGCATTAGTCAAGCATGACGTAAAGATGATGATTTTCGTTGAAATATTACTAGTTGTATTTTCTCCTACTCAGTGGCAAACAGCTACAAATGGATCTCCTAGTCCTACTGTACTAATATATCATAACAAATTACATTAATCAAGAACGAAGAATATGAAATCAATCTGATGAATTATTTACATAGAGATATTACTAAAATAGAGACGATTGTTTACATTGAAATATTAGTAGATGTGTTTTCTCCATGGCAACCAACTCCAATCTGATTCCCCTATAATACTAACGTATCATAGGGAATTACATTAATCAAGCACGAAGTATATAGAGATGATAATTTACATTGAAATATTACTAATGCTAATTTCTTCTAATTAGTGGCAACCCTCAATTATTATTTTGTATATCATGTTTCTTTACCAAAATTTGAATTATGGATCATATGGTTGGTAATATACAAGATTAGATATGATTAGTTTAATTGAATTTGACAAAATTAGGTGATTAACATCTTCCCAGTGGGATAACAGCAAGTCAACGTCAAACACTAGGAACTAGTGCTTTCTGATGTAATGATTGTGAATTACACTAATTCAGCTTATTACAAGCAAACATAAGAATTTCTGATGTTGGTTCCCTGAATTCGCAAACAAGCATGGATTTTATATGATGATTTTAACCGTATTTTGTCAATATTACTCATTTCTCGAATTAATGGTGAGTTTTGATCATGGTAAACAAAATTACTGTCCTCCATTTGTTATGTAAATCTAAATCTGACTACTTCCCCTTATCCACGCCAGAGTTGTCTTTACTAAAACACAAGTTGATTTCAATCCAAGTCATAGAATTTTTTTGTTAATTGTCTAATTTCCATAACTCCCAAAGATTTGTGTCTTGGCTCCATTCAGTCAAGACACAAATCTTTGGGACTCAAAGTTAAACATCTTGGGTTCACCTTATTTTTTCAGTTCATGTCAAAAGTTGACTGCTCAGCTGCATTGAAGGTGAACTAAGTTAATATATAGGAGTAATATCGGATATGAGCATTCTTTAATCTGGGACTTGCACTACTAGAAAACAACATTTAATTTAATTAATAAAAATATAATCAATAGTTAAAAAATTATCGATTATACTTATATAATCAACAAAAATTTCATCAATTATAATAAAATATTAATTATATAGGTATACTCGATAACCTAGTCTGTTGATTATATTAAAATTCTGCAAATATATATGTGTGTGTGTGCGTGTGTGTTAATATATAACCTTCAACTAGTAACGTTTATAAATATATTATATGTCTCATAAATTATAAATTTGATAATAAAAATTTAACACCATTAAATGTGAAATTATTTTTAATTAATATTTTATATATTTTGTATATATATAATGACTAAGTAAACTATAAATATGTAGTGTTAGAATTGATAATTTAATCAAAGTATATATATGCATAATATTAGTTAAAAATAATTTCACATTTGATAGTATTAAATTTTTATTACTAAATTTTTAATTTATGAGATATATAAATACATGCTATTAGTGAATAGTTAAATTTTATAATGTTAGGGCATAGATTTTTTCAAATTTAGTATTTAATGTGTTGGGGTTTAAATTTTCAAAATTTAAGATTTAAGGTTTAATATTGAAAATGTTTAGGTGTTTAATAATTTAAAAATTCAAATTGCAGGATTACAAAGTAAGACTCAAAATTTTAGATTTAAGAAGCAAAAATAAAAGAAACTATAGGGACCAATCGGCTTGGAGACGGATCGGTCCCTATAGCATTACCCTTCGATATGATGATTTTTACTGTGTTTTTACTCGTTTCTCTAATTAATGGTGAGTTTGGTCAAGCTAAACAAAATTACTGTCCATTTGTTATATAAATATGACTACTTCCCCTCATCCATGTCAGAGTTGCCTTTGCTAATGCACAAGTTGATTTCATTCCCAATCATAGAAATTTTTTGCTACCTGTGCTAAATTCCAAAACTCCCAAAGATTTGCGTCTTTGCCCCATTCAGTCATACAATGTCCTACCACACAACTTCTTCCAAAGCCATTCTGCTCTTGCTACTCCATATTTTCACTTTTCAAACTCTCATAAAATGCCACTTCTTTTCCAGGAAATACAACCGATCATATGACCTTGATAGCTTTCAAGTCCAAGATTTCAAATGATCCTCAAGGGATTTTGAAATCCTAGAATGATTCTATCCATTTTTGCAGATGGAAAGGCATCACTTGCAGTCGTAGAAGGGATAGAGTCACCATCTTGGATCTGTCATCTAGGGACTTGGTGGGTTCTTTGTCTCCTTTCATTGGAAACTTTAGTTTCCTTCGAGAGATCAGACTTTCAAACAACAGCTTTCATGGTGATATCCCTCCTGAAATTGGTCGCCTATTCAGGTTAGAGGTCCTCTATCTCAATAATAATTCTTTTGAGGGAAAGCTCCCACTAAACCTGTCTCATTGCTCCAACCTCAATGTCCTCAGTATTGGTAAAAATAAGTTAGCGGGAAAACTTCCAATGGAGTTTGCTTCCATGTCCAAACTCACAGATCTTTCAATTCATGAAAACCATTTTACTGGAGGAATCCCACCCTTCATTGGGAATCTTACCTCTTTGGTACTCTTATCTACAGCCAGGAATGACTTTGAAGGTAACATTCCAGATGCCTTAGGCCAATTAAGAAGCCTGAGCGCTGTTGGACTCGGAGGAAATAATCTTTTTGGTAGGATCCCCCCATCAATCTATAACCTTTCCATGATTTCTATTTTCGATGTATCTTACAATCAACTTGAAGGAAATCTTCCATGGGATATGGGACTCTCCCTTCCTAATCTAGAACAGATTCGAATGGGGAGCAACAATTTTAGTGGACAGATTCCATTAACATTATCCAATGCTTCAAAACTTGAACTTATAGACATGACACTAAATAATTTCTCTGGAAAGCTAAAAATTCCTTTCGGGCCCCTACAACATTTGCGATGGCTACTTTTAGGTGGTAATCATCTAGGAAGCGGGGAGGCTGATGAAATGAATTTTTTATCTGTCTCGGTCAACTGTAGCCAACTGAAACTTTTAGATCTTTCTAAAAATCAGCTTCAAGGAAGATTGCCAAAATCAATAGCCAATCTCTCAAATCAACTAAGGCTCCTTCACTTTAGTCAGAATAACCTATTCGAAAACATCCCTCCAGGGTTAGGGAATCTTGTCAGTTTAAATGCATTGGATTTGTCTCAAAATGAGTTTACAGACAAAGTTCCAAAAGAAATAGGGCAACTTGGACAACTACGGGAGATGTTTCTTGGTAGAAATAAACTTTTAGGAGAAATTCCTGATTCCTTCGGAAACTTAACGCTATTGAATGTGCTTAGCCTTTATCAAAACAAGTTAAATGGAAGCATACCTTCAAGCCTTGGGAACTGCCAAAATTTGGAGGCATTGGATCTTTCTCAAAACGACCTTAGCGGCTCTATACCCAAAGAACTTTTCAACATTTCTTCTCTGGGTATTAGACTGGATATTTCTCATAATCATTTGGTTGGATCTCTACCTTCAGAAGTTGCTGAATTCAGAAACATATATTTTCTAGATGTATCTGACAACATGTTTTCTGGAAAAATTCCAAACAGCTTAAGTGGCTGCACTAGTCTAGAGTTACTTTACCTCAACAGAAACCAATTTCAAGGCAGCATTCCTGAATCTTTAAGCTCTCTGAGAGGAATTCGAAAACTTGATCTTTCTGTCAACAACTTAACAGGTAAGATCCCTCAATACATGGAAACTCTCGCATTGGAGTATCTGAATTTATCTTTCAATAACCTAGAAGGAGACATTCCAATGAAAGGCATCTTCAAAAATGCAAGTGCAGTTTTTGTTGTAGGAAATAAGAACCTTTGTGGGGGAATCCCAGAACTAAGGTTGCCTAAATGCCGCATCAAAGCAACAAAGAAAGGTAAACTGTCGTATGTACAGATAATAATTATGGTAGTCTCACTCTTGGGAGTAATCATTGTATCCATCTCCCTTCTCTGCTGGACTAAAAGAAAAAACAGCGATCAGTCTTCTAGATTCTCCTTGAAAGAGCCTCTAAGGCAACTTTCTTACCAAAGTCTCCTTAAAGCGACAGATGGGTTTTCTTCAACAAATTTACTTGGTAAGGGGAGCTTTGGTTCTGTCTACAAAGGAGTTATCGAAGAAGATGGAGCTCATGTTGCAGTCAAAGTACTTGATCTTTTGTATCGAGGAGCTTCCAAGAGTTTCATGGTAGAGTGTGAAGCCTTGAAGAACATTCGTCATCGAAACCTTGTAAAGATCATAACTTCTTGCTCAAGCATCGATTTTCAAGGAAATGATTTCAAGGCTCTAGTTTATGAGTTGATGCCCAATGGAAGCCTGGATAATTGGTTGCATGCATCTGCTCAGGAAACAAACAATGGCCAAAGCAGAGTCCAAAGTCTAAGCCTATTACAGAGGATAAGCATTGCTATTGATGTCGCCTCTGCTCTTGACTATCTCCATTACAATTGTGGCAAGCCAATTGTTCATTGTGATCTAAAGCCAAGCAATGTTCTTCTAGACAACGACATGACTGCTCATGTTGGGGATTTTGGGCTTGCGAAGTTTATTTCATCAGAATCCAAAATGTCAAACCAAAGTAGCTCAGTTGGAGTGAGGGGAACAATTGGGTACGCTGCTCCAGGTAACGAAAAGATTATAATACTTTTAAAATTTTGTTCTTTCTTACGTCGCATGACTCTACATGACATTCATTTATAATTATTTTTTTTTTGGAGGAATTTAATCTTTTGTGAATGGCAGAGTATGGCATGGGAAGTGAGGTATCAATACATGGTGATATATACAGTTATGGGATCCTAGTGCTGGAGATGATGACAGGAAAGAAGCCCACTGACAATCTCTTTGAAGGAGGATTTAATCTTCATCATTATGCAAGAATGACCTCACCTGATCAGATTGTGGAGATTGTGGACCCA